TTCTATCCCTACTCCTCAAACCCTGATTCAATTATCCTCTTCCTCATCCTAACCCAAATTGTATCTCATTCTTTAGGGCCCTGTGTCCGGCTTAAGTCGTAACCGCTGGTGTGAAAATACATTGCTTCCCTTTTTTCCCTTAAATCACAAAAAACATACTCCCCTCGTCTCTCAAGTTGACATTTCCATATGATTCTAAGGTACTGGAATGATGTCACTGTGTGTGCACGTGTGTTGGTTTTTATCCCTCATTGTCAAACCTATCATCAGTCACCTCCCCTTTCGACGCAGATACGAAAATTATACACGACACACACACACTGGTGACCTCTATCTAGCCCACCTATACCTTTTGTCTTTCATTTTATATACCAAGAAAAGTTGGGTTTCGAGGAATCTCTTGTTCCATAATTGTTGGACGTCCTATATCTCACAGGTTTACCCCTGGGTAAATTTTTTTAGCCAATTCCATGTCCGACTCCTCTCACTGCTGTTGCCTTTTCTTGACTTCCCTTTGTTACACATAAGCCGCTCCTTGGTGATGTCTCTTCCTGTAGTTGAACAGTTGTCTTGGGTCCAGGCCTCTTCTTTTTGATGTATTCGTTGGGTCCCCAAGTCTGCTCAGACAGTACGCGGAATTATCGCTGACTCTTCCCTCTTCCAATCTTCTGTTTATCAGGTTTCTTTGAAAGACAATGTCCACAGCCTCCCTGGTATTCCTTTGCCTGATGTTTTCCTCATATGAGTCCAGTCTTTCCGCTCCATTTCAGTCAATTGTGTGGCCGGTAAGAACGATGTGTTCAGCTATCTCCGATCTTTCTGTATCCATTTTTTCGCATAGTCGCCGGTGTTTTTTGATCCTTGTGTTGATTGTTCCTCCCGTCTCTTCAAGGTATTTTTGTTCACAGTCCTTGCAGTTTATGCTGTAAACTCCAGAACATTCCATCCTGTTGACTTCTTCATGTTGTATGGGCAAGCTGGTAAAGAGCGTTGTCCTTTCCTTCATGATTGTACGAATGTTCCATTTCTCTACTATTGGTCGTAGCTTCCGAGTCAATTCACAGTAGGACAGACATATCCATAATTTTTATTTTTTATCCTTTTGCTTTCCTTTCATAGTCTCCGTTCTTTCATCTGTTCATCACCATCCGTATGCTGCTTTGTATCGCTTTTTCTCGATATCAATTTACAGGAAACATCTGAGTTAGATTTCCCGGTTCCTTTTCCCAGAACTCAGAATCAGTCGTAGGCTTCTTATCATCATATTCCGGAGTATTCAATTCTTCGTTTCATAAGTATGGTTCGACTGGAAGTTAAAAGTCATGCCAACATGCGATTTCTTTCTTGAGAGTTTCCTCAGAGCTAATGATCTCCACATCCAAGAACGGTAAGTGTCCGTTCTCTTCCACATCCATGGTGAATTTGACTTTTTCATCCATTTTTTCTCTGAGTCTAGATTCGATATCTAAAAAATTAAATAATTTCCCCCTCCCCTTATTAGATGCCTTCTCTAATTTTTGCAAGAAGCTTGAAATAATATAGGAGTTGTCATCTAAATATCGCATAATTACTGTTGGCTGCTGAGGTGACATTTTGAAATTTTCCTCCAACTTGTCCATGAATAAATTAGTCAACAGAGGTGAGAGTGGTGAACCCATAGGCAGACTAAATATTTTCTCATAGATGCGGCCGTTGAATGTTAAATAGGTCGCTCTTATTGTTAGGCTGATTAATCGGATTAGAGACTCCTACGCATTCGTTTTATCCCCAGAATGTGATTTTCTTTTTCCAAGATCTCCAGTAGTGCGATGAGTGCTTTTTCTCCTGTGATGTTAGTGTACATAGACTGTACATTAAAGCCCACTAAAAGTTTGTTTCCTTCCAACCTTGCGCCTCTTATTCTTTGGCAAAATTTGTATGAGTTCTTCACTGTATTCGATAATCTGTCATTCACTTTCCTTAATTTGAGGCAGATAAATTTCGCCAATTTATGTGTCGGTCCATGTTTGTTGTTGTTTATTATTTTCATTATTCTTTGTGCACCATCGGTAAACTGTATGCTACTGGGAACCTCGCATCCTTTCGCATGAGTGAGTTAGTTTTCCATTTGTCGATTTCCCCGTTTCTATTCATTTCCTTCAGCATTTCTCTCAGTGCCCATCTGATTTGTACTGCTGGGTCTTTTGCTAGTAGTCAATACATTGTAATGTCCCCGAGAATATTTTCCATTTTCTCTGTATATTCCTTCCTGTCCGTCACCACTATGGCATCTCCTTTGTCTGCTTGTAGGACTATTTCATCGTTTCTGTTCAATTTTCTAAACGTAGAGGAAAGCACTTAGTCCAGATTCCATAGTATGCATGCTAATTTTCAAAGTCAGACAGTGGACGTGGGACATTACCAGGCGATTCGCCGGCATGGTAGTCAGCAGCTTCAATGAGCATTGCCAGTCTTAGCACCACACTACAACTCGCCAAAGAGACAAGTTAAGCAGATCTTATGACCAATTGTCTGCTAAGCAAGTGTGGTATCTTCCTGCCCTGGGCTATTGACTAATCCTATATCCTCGTATCACTCCTTCACTATCACAATTTTTAATTTCTTATTTAGATGTGGTGTGGTGTGCCCTTTTGAGCGGATTTAATGAGAACTCTACACACCCAACGCTGGCCTACTCACCTCGTCATCTCTCTTCACCCTTGTGCTGGGAAAATTGATCAAAGTCTGCCATACTATTCCACAATTCTCTTCCCATAGTTCTTATCAGTCTTCCTCTTGCTCCGCAGGATCCGCATCCTACTGTCCTGGTTCAGGTATTCCCCTTGGCCCCTGCCATCCTATCTGTACTACTCAAAGCGTAGTTTTACACACTATCTCAAGTCTTTGATGACACACATACTCCCGCCTCGCTGAGCAGGCCTCTAAAAATCAGGATTTCAAGCTGGATCTGGAACTAACTTGAGGCTAAAGATCCTGAGTAATTCTCATGATCAAGCCTGCGCTTCATGGACCACGTCTATTATCAAACATGTATACTGTTAGCCAACTAGCTCTAGTATTCCCGCATCTATCGTACGTCTATACATAGTGCCAAGTCTATGACTTCCTATGCCCTTAGTCTCTTGTGTCCCAATCGATAGAAGGACCAAGGTACAACCACAATATTTGTTGGTTGGCAAACAAGAGACTAGGGAATAAGAAGTTATATACTTGGTAGTGTGGATAGTGAAACAGGAAAGATACGATGAAGACTAGAGCTAGTGGGCTAAAAGTACAAAAGGCTACGAATAGAAACTGGATTTCGATGAATCTCCTGAAATAGCATTGTTGGGGGGACTGTCATTTCGTATGAAACTGCATTAAGAAGAGATTCGTTGATCGACGTCACCAGATGAGGACGGCTGAATCGCGTTGTACTGCAGCCGTTTGGCTTTTATACGACGTTCAGGTTGACGCAGTACATGAGACCTCATCCCTCGTTTCGGGTCAAACAGGCTGAGCTTTAGTCCATAATATGATGGACATCATTAGAACTGGGTCTCATTCTTGTAAAAGTCTCACGATAACACTAGGGCAGGAAGACTATCCGAATCTATCTTACCTCTTATATAGACTCAATTAGGCCAAAAGAAAGTTTTAAACCTAGATAGATATAGAGTGGTTTGGCTAATTATCTTTCATACTAGTCCTGCTACCTTTGCTCGAATATGTGCGTGTGTGAATGTGTGTGTTAGCGTCTATACGCAATACCGGTCTTACATCAGAGTTATCAAAAGGTTAAAGTTAGGCTCTGATCACTAAGGCCTAATGACCTCAAAGAAAGCCCTGACCGAGACTGCGTAAATCCGTAAGCAAGTATGATTGAGATAATGAGATATGAGCTTGTAAGCATGTAAGTCAAGTTACGAAACGACTTATCCTAACCTTTCGGTCTAGGGTCATTAACGTTTAACCCTCTAAGGAAAGGCATGAATGGGGCTGCGTAAGTTGGCACGTTTGGTTTGGTTGATGAGCTTAATTTAACATGTTGGACGAGGGTGAGTGAAGTTAGAACCAGCACCGAGCAGACAAATTGAGTCGCCTTCTTTTTGACGGCGGCTTAACACCCTCTCTCCTTCAATTTATCAATCAAGCATATGTAGTTCCTACTCAACTTTATACCAACGTTCCTCACATTCAAGGTATTACCTAAGCTACTAATTTCAATAGCCTCCCTTATCCTTCAATTAACCACAGACGTACTATAATCAACAGACCTATTAGTTTGAGCCTGAAGATATGTAGACCAAGATGGTGTGGCCTCCGGTATGGTCGCAGTCTCCTTTCGATTTATAGAATTCCCAGCATCAAACAGTGGACTTGGTACATTCTCAAACGTTTCGCTTGCATCGTAATCGGCATTATCAGTGATTGCTGTCATTCTCCACACCAAGCTACGCACTCGTCAAAGAGACAAGTGAAGTCAATCATTTCACCAACGTTCTGTCGAAAACGGTTACACTATCACTTCTCTTTCTGTCCTGGCCCATCTATCTACTCTTTATTCTTTTATCAAATTCCCGCCCTATCACAACTTCTCACTTGTTTACATTCCACTCGTAAAAATGTGTACTGTTTTATGGCAGATCTATTGTGGCCTCATCACACCTGCTATTTACCCCGACCCTCCCTTTTTCGATCGGCTAATCCGACTTGGGCCTCCAATCCGGATCCACTTCATGGTTCCTTAGATCCGTTCCTTCTCTTTCTGGTTGACCGATTTCACTCAGTTCCAGTTCCAGTGTGCGTTTCACTCTAGGCGCAATTTCTCAACACCCTAGAAGCACGTACACTGCCGCCTTAGCAAAGCGCCTAGGCTCTGATTCTCATGCTTGTAGATATCAGGTGTTGCCCTTATAGAACGGTGGTATAAAGTTGAGTAGGAACTATTTATACTTGATTGATAGATTGAAGGAGAGAGAGGGTGTTAACCGCCGTAAAAAGAGGGCGATAGCCCTAACTTCACTCATACTCGTCAAATAAGTGAGATTAAGCTCATCAACCAAACCAGATGTGCCAGATTACGCAGCCCAGTCATGCCCTTCCTTGGGTGTTAAAGGTTAAATGACTTGACCCTTGACTGAGAGGTTAGAACCACTGGTTCGTAACTTGACATGCTTACAAGCTCATATCTCATTATCTTAACCATACTTGCATTCGGATTTACACAGTCATGATCAAGGCTTTTTCTTGAATCATTAGGCCTTGATGATCAGAGCCTGATATTAGCCTTTTGACAACTCTGATTTAGGACCGGTATTGTGTACAGACGCTAATACACACGCACACACTCGAGCAAAAGTAGCAGGACTAGTATGAAAGAAAGGAGCACACCACACTATATCTAAATAAACACGGTAAAATTGTAATAATGAAGGCATGATAGGATGATACCGGAAACTCGAATAACCCAGGGCAGAAGGGAAGATACCATAATTGTTTAGCACACGTTTGGTCAAAGGATCGGCTTCACTTGTCTCTTTGACGAGTTG